CCATTGAACCATCGGAAATCAAAGGTGTCACTTTCTCAGCCACCAGTGTGGATTATTTGGGATCTTGGAGAAGTTTGGAATTCTGAATTTCGGATGACGGATGCTTAACCTGTGCCACACCAGCTTCAGATCTCATTTTCTTCCAAAAAATGATGGTATATCAGAGGAGTCAATAAATCCAGTATTTATTAGGGCTGAAAACATACCCTCGTTTTTGGTCATCAAGGTGAGCTTCTGTATGTTTGGCTTGGCCTCCCTTTAAGGCTTCCCAATACTTCTGCCATCTCTTATTTCCCTTCCCTTTTAATCAGTGTAAACAGTTAGATATTTGCTGCAGGAGAGGTAATGGCGTTTTGGAGTTCTGACCTTTCTAAAGTGCTGTGTGCACGCGCCTCTGTGTGTGTGTGTGTGTGTGTGTGCGCGCACGCTCTACCTTCTATTGGCTGCGCTGTAGCAATTCTGCAGCTCCGCTTGCTTTGCTTTATGCCCCGGGGAACACAACATGTGCTTCCTCCAATATGTGGCCTGATTTAACCTTCTTGCAAACGGTTTCTAAGTAACAGCCGCACAAAGCAAGGAGCATCTCTGAAGAACAACTGACGCGCACAAGAAACACAGGCATTTTTTTGAAGGGATCTGCCTGGTTTTGGGGAGGTGACGGAGGAAAAGCAAAAAGAAACCATCCATTGTCACCAGCACCTTGAAGCCTTCAGACATCCTCTCTAGTGTTCTGTTGGCACAGAGAGCAAAAACTCTTCTCCATCTTAATTTTCTCAAGGGTCAGTAAAACCCAGAACTAGACGGCTATGACTTCAGCTGCTGGAGAGGTGCTCTATTCTTTTTGAAAATGTTATCTAAAAATAAAACTAGAGAAGTCTCCAAGTAGGAGTAGGACCAGCAGTGTTCTTGTTTGGTTTTGGAATAAATGAGGATTGATTCCTGCAGCTGCTTTGCCCGAGGGAAGAAGGCAAGGCTCCTGGGACAGTTCTCTTCTGCTTGGTATTTTTCTCTCCCTGCTCCCTTGTGGCACTGTCTTTTAAAGATACTGAAAGCCCCTCTTCTTAGCCTCAGGCAGTTTATGTTGTGGGAATCCATGCTTTCCTCTTCTGCTTCAGTGCATTTTCTTTACACTGTAGGGAAGATGGTTCTGGACAATTTATATGTCCCTCTGTATAATTTCTGTTTGAAGTTCCTGGGTTACAGAAAAGAGATAATGTGTGACACGAGATCTTCTCAGTGTCTCCCTGATTCCTTTGCCTGATTTTTAGTTTTTCAAAGTATGAATATTCCTGACATGCATGTGTTTCATGAACATGCACTAAAGGGCACACTGGATAATGTGTTGTGTTCTTGAATGGCTTTTTAAAGGAAATTAGGCAAATTCATGGGAGAAGGTTAACAGTTGATAGTCGTCATGATGGTGCTATATTCCCTCCAGTTGAAAGAGGCACCATGCCTCTGAATACCAATTGCAGAAGAACACAGTCTTGGGGGTGCTATTGTTCCTAGGCTTCCTGAATGCATCTCATTGGCTGCTTTGAGAACAGAATGTTGGACTCAGCTGGCCATTGGTCTCATCCAACAGGATGGTTCCTACAGATCATTTTAGTACCTGATCCTAGTTATTTAGGTACTGTTCTGGATAGAATCAGGTGGGGTTCTGTATATGCATTGCGTTTTTAATTGTTCTAGATACAAAGCAGTGCAATCTGTTTTAAAGGGACTTGGTTAACCCTGGAGTGTTAGTTCTACATTATTTTAAACACATTCATATTCTTGCTGTCTATAAGTGCACTGAGGGCTCTTGAGTCGCCTGTGAAATTCTCCCTCCACATATGTGTGCGTGCCTTCTAAAGGCTAGTTCTATTTTCTGTCTGAGAGAAGAAAGAAGGAATTGCCACCTGGGAAGTTCTACCTTCAAAATTGAGTTCTGTTTTGACATCAAAGCCTGTGCAACCAAACTGGAGAAAATTGAGTTCACCTCACCAATTTGGGAACTCCAATGTTGTGTTTCTTTGTTTAATTCATACCCTTCTTTTCTCCCAGCATGAGCTTAAAAGTGGTTTACAATAAAATAATTTTACAAAAGTTAAAAAAGAATTAAAATAATTCTATTAAAAAGCACCCAGCTAAATATAATTTAAACATACTTAAAATACAATTCAGAGATAATAGTAATCATTGCAGACAGGCTTGCAACTAGTTAAAAAAGGAGATAATTATAAGGGAGCCTTTCATCTTTTTTCTGGGCCTAGGCATGATAAAGCTGTGCCTATCTCTTCTCTCTCTCTCTGAACCTAGGAAGGATAGTAGCATTTGGGATTGCAATGGATGTGCTGAAAAAGCTCAGATAACTTCTTGTACTCTGTCTACGTTGGGAGTATCATGAGGGAAGATGGTACTAGTAATCCCTCCCCAAGAAAACGAGGACAGTGGAGAGCTAGTGGGTCCAAGCTGGGAGCCGGTTACATCTCAGGAAATCATCGACCTGATACACAACCTAAAGACAAACAAGGCCCCAGGTAGCGATGCCATTATCCCTGAAATACTGAAGGCAAACCCACTGTGGTGGGCAAATCTACTAGCAAACCTCTTCACAAGGATCAACGAAACGGGGTACATGCCAAAGGCATGGACCTCCTCTATAATGGTCCCAATATTCAAAAAAGGAGACCAAAACGATCCAACGAACTATCGGCCCATTAGCCTGCTCTCCATAATAGGGAAGATATATGCCAAGCTCCTGAAAACTAAGCTAGAATCATGGGTCAACCAAAACAACGTAATTGGCCCAGAACAAGCAGGATTCTCTAAGGGGAAATCAACATTAGACCAGACTCACATCTTGGCCCACCTAGCCAACAAATACTCAAAAAATTGCCCTAATAAGCTAAACGTGGCCTTTTTGGACCTGAAGGGGGCATTTGACTCTGTGAATAGAGAAAAGTTGTGGGAAAAACTAGCAGCCCTCAACATAGACCCAAGACTCCTCTTCTTGATTAAGAAATTGCACAACCAAAACCTCTGCCAGGTGAAAGACCACAGGGGATGCCTGTCAAACCCGTTCCTGGTTCAAAAGGGAGTCAAACAAGGGTGCGTACTAGCCCCACTCCTCTTCAACATCTTTTTGCACGATCTCCCTACAGCCCTGGCTCAAGTTGACGGGCATAGCCCCAAGATTGGCCCAAAGCATGTCCCCCTTTTGCTATTTGCGGATGATGCAGCCCTATTATCCCTCTCTCATGTGGGCTTAAAAAGACTCCTGCATAAATTTGTTGATTTTTGCGAGACGAACGAACTGCAGGTGAACTACGATAAAACCAAAATCTTGGCGTTTTGGGAAAAGCAACAAAAGACAAGTCTGGAAGATAAAGGGCCATTATATTGAGCAAGTAAAACATTTCAAATACCTAGGTCTCTGGTTTAGCAACAACTTGTCATGGTCCACCCACTTAAAATATACACTGGCCCGGGCCAAATCGAGTGGCAGTGCGACCAGGAGGTTCTTCCACTCCAGGGGTAATCAATATATCCCCCTAGCTCTGCAAGTCTTCAAAGCAAAGGCGATGTCACAACTTCTCTATGGAGCACCCATCTGGTTAACCCCCAATAACAGCGCCATCAGATCTTTTCATTCGAAATTCCTCCACAAACTATATGGTGCCCCCAACTGTGTCCCGTATGCAGTTCTTTGTCTTGAATCTGGGCAATATTCTATTGAGGCTACTATCTGGCTAATCGTCATTAAATTTTGGCTATCTATACACTATCAAAGTCCCAGCGACTCTCTGACTCAACTCACCTTGAGCGAACTCCACCACTCCAAATGGTGCTCAACTGTCCTAGCAAAGATCGGGGAATTGGGCTACGACAGCGATTTCCTGACTCTACTATCTTTTTCCGAGATTTTTACCCTCATCAAAAGGAGGCTGCTAGAAAGGGACCACAACCAATTGTTGAGCTTGGCAAACAAATCCTGCTCACCTATTAACTTGGCAATTCCATACACACAGGGAAATCCAGCCTTTTACATCACAGAGCTCACCAACCCCTCTTACAGAAGAGCCTACATGCTGGCTAGATTTAACATCATGCCATCGCCGCTCCATAGAGGAAGACTCAATGGCCTCCCGAGCGACAAGAGGGTCTGCCTCTGCAGCACAGGACAGCTAGACTCCATACCGCATATTCTCCTGCACTGTCCACTCTACCAGGAGCTAAGATCCAGCCTGCTAACACAAGCTATAGATTCACTGAAGAACCGCAGCGATTCTGACAAAGTGATTTTGCTTTTAAATTGCCAGGACTTTAGCTGCTGCCTTTCAGTGGCAAGATTCCTGAATGAAGTCTGCAAACTGAATGTGTAGCAAACGAGAAGCCCTTTTTTATTACGTGTACTATGTTTTATACTCTCTGCCATGTTATGCCAATAAAGGCTTATTGTATTGTTGTTAGTAATCCAAATGGTTCTTTCCTTCCTTCCTTTCCATGCTTCCTTTCCTTCCTTCCTTGCTTGCTTTCTTGTCTTTGTACCTTGAAATGATATATTTACTTTGTTTGTGGGTATTTTGCATCAGAATCTTCTTGGCAATTAAACAGATGCATGCAGCTGTAGGGCAAACACCAGGAGGTACACACATATCCATCTTCATCTATTAAAACAGGCCAAAATAATGCCTGGAAGAAAGGAACGAAGGAACTGTATTGTGTAATTTCAGTTAATATAGGGCCATGTTCTTATGGTTGGTAAATGTGGATATGCCTGAAGAATATTTTGCCATTCAATATGAAAAAAATGTCATGTGAACTGATGCTAGTTGGTATTAATGTCTACAAGAAAACTACCTCCACCTTTCCAAAAGTCCTGTAGTCCGGATCAGGCTTGAAAACACACTCTGAAGTAAAGGATTGAAATCTTTGTGTGTGCGGGAGGAAGGGAGCAAGAGAAAGTGTGTGCTCTATTCAGGATTTAACAAGATCTCGCATTTTCTTCTTTACAGAAATCAGGCAATGCGGAAGAAGCTGATACTATACTTCAAGAGGAGAAACCATGCCCGTAAGCAGTGGGTAAGTGACCCCATTGTCCACTTCTGTGGGCTTCCTTTTAAAGTAGAACAGCCAAACCAAGACAGAAATGTGGCATTGGGAGAAGCTGATCAATAAGAGATAAGATGTGGCTGGAGAAAGGAATGCCAAGAAAACCAAATCTTTGAGAGCTTGGCAGAGGAAACTGGTTCAAGGAGTAATTCAGGACAGAAGGGGTAGAGCAGGAAGAGTTTGAGTGCATTAGGAGAGAAAGGTTTGCCTTTGTAAGGCCGCCCTGAGTCCCCTTCGGAGTTGAGAAGGGCGGGCTATAAGTGCAGCAAATAAATAAATAAATAAATAAAAGGGGAAAGGACAGATAGAGAAGAAAGATGGGGATTTTGTTTCTTTGAAACAGCTCTAAATGCAGCACTCTAGCGTAATTACTCTACAGTTGGCACTCAGTATCCATAGATTCTGTATCCATGGATTCAGTCATCCATGGATTGAACATAGGCTGTTGTATGTGGGGAGAGTCGCTACAAATACTTAGGCCTGAAGCATTTAAGAATTTAAATGTCATTAGTAGAACTTGGGTTTAGACTAGAAATCAATTGACGGACCAGTGCAATTCCTTTAGAAATAGTTTTATATTGTTTGTGTAAGCTGAAATGTCAGCAGTCTAGCTTCTACACTAGCTACCATTTCTGTCATGGCCCAATGCTATGTAATCCTGGGAGTTTTCGTTTTATAAGGTTTTTAGCCTTTTCTGCCAATGAGTGCTAGTGCCAAACTACAAGTCCCACAGCATTGAGCCCTGGCAGTTCAAACTGCATTCATTCTGTAGTGTAGGTGGACCCAGAGTCTTCTTGGGCCTCTTTTGCATTTGCCTAATCTGTAGGGCAAAACTTCATTTGATGCTTTCTTCAGTTTCCAGGTTCTAATGGCACGGAACTCTTCTGCTTCCAGTTTTTCTGTGCCTTCCAAGTTTTGATTCTGGTGAAATTTCTTGTAGTTCAGGGCATGTCCTTTATCTCCTTATTCATATATTCAGCAGTACAGGCGAAATCACAACAGAATATTAAGTGCTTTGGTGAGACACACATCTGGGGTCTGTTCCACTCTCTGCCACTAGTTCATAAGCTCTTTGGAAGTGTTTTTGAAATCATCTCGCTAAAGGGATAAAAGTTCAGAGCTTAGCTAATTAACAGAGCAGAGAAGATGCCGATTGGCCAGAGCCTTCTTTCTGCCAGATGGATACTCAGCACTTCACGCTGCCGAGCTAAACAGAAGCTAAAGTGACTGAACCCTCAGCTGGATTAATTGGGAGCTCAAACTTCAATCTCTTTTTGTTTCCCCTCCTGGCAAAGAATCAGAAGCAGCTGGTGCCAAGTGGTGCTTTGTTCTTGGCTGGATCATGATCTTACTTGAGAAGCCTCAGAAGCCAACCAGGCATGATGCAAAAGAGTCCATCTTTCTGTTGGAACAGACATAGCAATTGGCGTCATCCGCAAAGAAATTGCTATCCAAACCCATTCTGATTACATGTGTGGCCAAGGCAACTTTGCCCGCCTTGACAAGAGAACTTTATTCTGTCCTCCAATGCTGCTCTGGGAGTTGTTTTTAATAAGTTGTGACCTGTCCTATACCCTTCAACTGTTGCATTTTGACAGACTCAATTCTCTGTTTTCCCACTTTTCAGCTACTTTTAAAATCTTCCAGTTTCTCTCTCCTCTTCCCACTTCCGTTATTTGTCCTCAGCTTATTCAGTTGCTGCAAACTTGAGCTCAAAGCTGAAAAAGCTGCATTCAGCAAAAGGGAGAAGTGAGGAGTGGACAGAATCCAGCCCTTGCCAGAAGGCTTAGGGAATATGCTTGTGTATTTGTCCTCATCAGTAACTTTTGCCATCTTGACTATACTCTGATGTTGCTTAGCTGCACATTTTCACCCGTGAAATGTTGGAGGGTTTGCTATCCTATGTACCCATTGTCTTCAGGGGTCAGAACCCCAGCCCTAGTTGTCTTGTCTCATGGTGTGAAGAATGAGCAGTAGTGCTCCGCTGTATGTGAGCAAAACATTGGCAGCCAGAGGAGAGAAAGGAAAGGTTCCTTAGGTCAGCCTAATCTGCTCGGCTTGCAGTGTATATACTGGATATACTTTTCTTGTGATTATCTACTGTAAGCCTTCTTGGACAGTGTGTGGGCGAAGGGAATAAATAATTGAGTGGTGCCCTGCAAGAAACGTTTATTTGCCTGGCAATTGAGGAGGGGGGAGGGAGCCAAGCGAGCCTCCCATGGGAGGGAATTCCACAAGCAGTTGCACTATATACTCTGGTGTATATGTGTCTGGTTGGGAGGTGGGGCCATGCTGGTATCTGTGTGACTGAGGAGATTATTACACTATACTTCAAAAAGTTGCTATCCCACTTTAAATCCTGTGGCTGCCTCCTGTAGACTCCTGGGGTTTGCAGCCATAGCACTTACAGTGGAACAACAGTGCTTTAACAGTGTAATGTCATAATCTCCTGAAAGGGGAAAAAAAAAAAAGAAAACTGAGCATCCAAGACAGGAGCCTGTGCTCTAATCTGGGTTTTACTTCATATACAGAATGGATTTGGAGTTGGGTTCTTTTCTAATGCATATTTGAAAGTGCAACCAGTCTGCTTGACCATTTGATAGGAAATGAATATTCTGCTTGGCATTGTCACAAGGGGCAACTTTAGTAGCTAGACCTTACAGCGCCCTGGGATATTTGACTGGGAACTAGCGTCAGTTTTACCTCTTGATATGCAATATGGTCTATATAACAGGACATCTGTATGCTTGCTGTTTCTCACTGTAACCTGTCTTAGTTGATCTAAGAGATACATTCACACACGCACCCGGTGCACCATAGAAATCTTAAAAAAAAGGATAGTCTCTTAGGTGGACATGCCTCAAGCCTTTCTCATGTTTAAAAAACAGCACCTTGAGACTATAGAAACTGTGAGGTTTCTCAAGAATCATAGAATCATAGAATCAAAGAGTTAGAAGAGACCTCATGGGCCATCCAGTCCAACCCCCTGCCAAGAAGCAGGAATATTGCATTCAAATCACCCCCGACAGATGGCGATCCAGCCTCTGTTTAAAAGCTTCCAAAGAAGGAGCTTTCACCACACTTCGGGGCAGAGAGTTCCACTGCTGAACGGCTCTCACGGTCAGGAAGTTCTTCCTCATGTTCAGATGGAATCTCCTTTCCTGCAGTTTGAAGCCATTGTTCTGCGTCCTATTCTCCAGGGAAGCAGAAAACAAGCCTGCTCCCTCCTCCCTGTGACTTCATCTCACATATTTATACAATAGAACCAATAGAGCAAGTTTGCACTTTCACATATCTGGGAATTGTTTTTTCTGAGACCGGCTCTTGGCTACCACACCACCAAAAAAGCTCAGTCAGGGCAAGAGTATGTGCAAATCAACTACTTAAATTGATAAATCACAACCATCCAGGATCCTTAGACCAACTTCTTAAAGTATATAAAGCAAAAGTAACTCCCATGCTCTTATACGGAGCTGAAGTTTGGGGTCTAAACCAGGTACCATTATTAGAGCAAGCACAATCACAGCACCTGCGAAGTTTTCTAGGAGTGGACAGGACGACCCCAGCTGCCGCAGTAAGAGCAGAACTGGGAGTATATACAGTGGATGGCTTATCTAAAATCAGGGCCTACAGCTACTGAGCAAAACTGATTGCCATGGCAAATGATAGACTTCCAAAATTGTGCCTGTTGGAGCAGAAAGAAAATCAACATCAGTCCTCTTGGCTAGTTCTCCTGACAAAATATATTAGGAGCTGTGGACTCCCGACTCGGTATCAGAACCTCTTAGAAGAGCTAGACCCAAAAATAGTTGCTCAACGAGTATTGGATAAAGAAGGCCAAAAAGACATTGCTACCCTCAGTAAAGCTGGCTCATTGAAATAGTTAAGCCGCTTTAAACACACTTTCCAAACAGCTCGATATCTAAAAACAGATATGCCAAAACACCTTAGGAGGGTATTTACCAGAGCTCGTTTTGAGCAGCTGGATTCAATGGTCAAGCACGGAAGGTTTAATCAGGTCCCATACAACGAACGAGTTTGTATTTGCGGAGCATCAGAGGTGGAGGATATCACACATGTTCTGTTCAACTGTGAGCTGTATAAGAAAGAGAGAGACCATTGCCTTGGACCATACATTATTCACAAAACACACTGGGATCCACATATTAAAACTTCATTTTTGTTGGCCGGCCAGAATCCTAAAATAACACACAAAACAGCCCTTTTTCTATTCAAAGCAACACAGCTGAGAATTGCACATTTAGAATCAATTGGGGTAAACTGTGGAGGTGACACAGATATTTGACCTGAACGGGATCTGCCAACAGTTTGTTTATTTTAACCTCTTTTATTTTAACCTCTCTTATACCGAGGGTTGTATGTTGTATGACTATGTGTTAAATGTGTTATGTGTTAAATGTGCTATGTGTTAAATGTTTTGATACAGCCAATAGGCCAATCAATAAAACGTATCTATCTATCTCATATTTATACATGGCTATCATATCTCCTCTCATCCTTCTCTTCTTCAGGCTAAACATGCCCAGCTCCTTAAGCCGCTCCTCATAGAGCTTGTTCTCCAGACCCTTGATCGTTTTAGTCGCCCTCCTCTGGACACATTCCAGCTTGTCAATATCTCTCTTCAACTGTGGTGCCCAGAATTGGACACAATATTCCAGGTGTGGTCTAACCAAAGCAGAATAGAGGGTAGCATTACTTCCCTAGATCTAGACACTATGCTCCTATTGATGCAGGCCAAAATCCCATTGGCTTTTTTTGCACCACATCACATTGTTGGCTCTTGTTTAACTTGTTGTCCACGAGGACTCCAAGATCTTTTTCACACGTACTGCTCTCGAGCCAGGCCCCATTCTGTATCTTTGCATTTCGTTTTTCCTGCCAAAGTGGAGTATCTTGCATTTGTCCCTGTTGAACTTCATTTTGTTAGTTTTGGCCATTCATCTCTCTAATCTGTCAGGCTCATTTTGAATCCTGCTCCTATCCTCTGGAGTATTGGCTATCCCTCCCAATTTGGTGTTGTCTGCAAACTTGATGATCATGCCTTCTAGCCCTTCATCTAAGTCATTAATAAAGATGTTGAACAGGACCGGGCCCAGGACGGAACCCTGCGGCACTCTGCTCGTCACTTCTTTCCAAGATGAAGAGGAAGCATTGGTGAGCACCCTCTGGGTTCGTCCATTTAACCAATTACAGATCCACCTCACCGTAGTTTTGCCTAGCCCACATTGGACTAGTTTCCTTGCCAGAAGGTCATGGGGGACCTTGTAGAAGGCCTTACTGAAATCCAGGTACGCTACATCCACGGCATTCCCCGCATCTACCCAGCTTGTAACTCTATCGAAAAAAAGAGATCAGATTAATCTGGCATGACTTGTTTTTGATAAATCCATGTTGACTATTAGCGATGACCGCATTTGTTTCTAAGTGTTTGCAGACCACTTCCTTAACAATCTTTTCCAGAATCTTGCCTGGTATCGACGTGAGGCTGACCGGACGGTAGTTGTTTGGGTCATCCTTTTTTCCCTTCTTGAAGATTGGGACCACATTGGCCCTCCTCCAATCTGCTGGAACTTCTCCCGTTCTCCAAGAACTCTCAAAGATGATTGCCAATGGTTCCGAAATGACTTCCGCTAGTTCCTTCAATACTCTTGGGTGTAGTTGATCTGGCCCTGGGGACTTGAACTCATTTAGAGTGGCCAGGTATTCCTGGACGACTTGTTTCCCAATTTGGGGTTGGATGTCCTCTAATCCCTCATCCACTCCACCTTGCTGAGGTTGAAGATGACTTTCTTTTTGTGAGAAGACCGAGGCAAAGAAGGCATTAAGTAGTTCTGCCTTTTCCCTGTCCCCTGTCAGCATTGCCCCATCTTCTCCTTGAAGAGGCCCTATCGCCTCCTTGTTTTTCCTTTTTCTACTGACATAAGAAAAGAAGCTCTTTTTATTGTTTTTAATGTCCCTGGCAAGCCTGAGCTCATTTTGTGCTTTAGCCTTGCAGACTTTTTCCCTACAGGTGTTGGCTATTTGTTTGAATTCTCCTTTGGTGATTTCTCCCTTTTTTCACTTCTTGTGCATGTCTCTTTTGTGTCTTAGCACAGTTAGAAGTTCTTTGCTGCCTAGAAAATTCCAAACAGCTCTAAAAGGCTCTTGTACAGAATTGCTTGATGTGTCAAAAGTAGACTCGAAAGGTGACAAGAATCCAAACACAACAGGAAATTGCTGGGGCCTTCTCGCATGGATTTTTCATTCTTTTATGAAGCATCATAGCTTTGCCCGTGCTTGCAGTAAATAATAATAATAATAATAATAATAATAATAATAATAATAATAATAATTTATTTATTTATTTATTTATTTGACTTGTATACCGCCACTCCCAATTTGGCTCGGAGCGGTTTACAGCAGTAGATTAAAACAATACAACCAACTTTAAAATACAATAAAAATGAGAACAGACATAGTCCCGAGTTATTCACCCATCGAAAGCTTGTCGGAAAAGAAAGGTTTTACAGGCTTTCCGAAAAGCAAGTAGCTCTCGGATGGTTCGGGTTTCAACTGGCAAGGCATTCCATAAATAAGGGGCCACAATTGAGAAGGCCCTCTGCCTAGTAGAGGACAGATGATAAGTCTGTTGGGGACTTCAAGCAAATTTTGGTCTTCAGACCGAAGTAATCTCTGGGGTTGATAGGGGGATAAGTGGGCCCTCAGGTATGCCGGCCCCAGACCATATAAGGCCTTAAAGGTTAGTACCAGCACCTTGAAAGTAATCCAGTACTCAATTGGAAGCCAGTGCAGCTGTTGTAGAATTGGGGTGATAGGATACCTCGCCGGCACCCCGGCGAGAAGACAAGCCGCCGCATTTTGCACCAGCTTCAGTTTCCGGATCACTGACAAAGGAAGGCCAATGTAGAGGGCGTTACAGTAGTCAAGCCTCGAGATGACCGTCGCCTGGATCACCGTAGCCAGGTCGTTCCTAGATAGGAAGGGAGCCAGTCGCCTAGCCTGACGTAGGTGGAAAACGCAGATCTGCTCACAGCAGAGACCTGGGCCTCCATTGTGAGCAGAGGGTCCAATAAGACACCAAGGCTTTTTACAGAAGGTGACGGACGTAGTGTCTCGCCATCCAGGGTAGGCAGCTGGATCTCCCTCCCACCCGGACGGCCCAGCCAAAGGATCTCCGTCTTCGCTGGATTCACCCTCAACCTGCTGGCACGCAACCATCCAGTAACGGCCTCAAGGCACTGATGGAAATTTTTGGGTACAGAGTCCGGCCGGCCCTCCATCCTCAGAATGAGCTGAGTGTCATCAGCGTACTGGTGGCACTCAAGCCCAAAGCTCCACACCAGTCGAGCAAGCGGTCGCATATAGATGTTAAATAATAGAGGAGAGAGAATAGCTCCCTGCGGGACCCCGCAAGTTAGCGGAGATCTCTCGGAAGCCATCCCTCCCCTCACCATACGCTGTCCCCAATTCTGGAGGAAGGAGGACACCCATTTAAGGTGTCCTCCTAACCCCAGTCATGGCTAAGCGGTGGGTCAATAGATTGTGATCGACCATATCAAATGCTGCTGTGAGGTCCAATAACACAAGCAGCTCTGATCCGCCTTGATCCATCTGGCAGCGAAGCTGATCTGTGATGGCAACTAGCACAGTCTCCATTCCGTGCCCCCTACGGAAGCCGAACTGGAAGGGATCAAGTCCGGCTGTGTCATTTAGGAACTGCTGCAACTGTTCCGCTGCTGCCCTCTCAACCACCTTGCCCAGAAACAGAAGGTTCGAGACTGGGCGATAGCTAGAGGGAACCGAACGATCTAAGTCTGGTTTCTTCAGCAGCGGAGATACCATCGCCTCTTTTAAACCCTCTGGAAAAACTCCTTGCTCGAGGGAGCTATTTATTATATTCAACAGAGGTTCACGCAATCCCTCCAGGCAAGATTTTACTAGCCAGGAGGGACACGGATCAAGGGAGCAGGTGGTCGGCCTAGTTGCAGTCATGATCCTATCGACAGCCTCTGCATCCAGCGGGGTGAACCGGTCGAGGATGGGCCCAGCGAGTGGCCACGGAGTCTCAATAATAATAATAATAATAATAATAATAATAATAATAATAATACACTTTATAAATTGTTTTAAATTGTTTTTAAATTGTGTTCAATTTTAGCCTGTTCTTGTAAACCGCTCCGAGCCCCAGGGGAGTGGCGGCATATAAGTTCAAATAATAAATAAATAAATATAAGATCGAAGAGGCCTTATGACTCAAGGCCTAAGGAATCCTGAAGGGATTATTTGAACATTCATCCATTCCGTTTTTTCTTTGGGGCAAGAACATTGGTCAGGTCATAACGCAAGTGTTTTTTATGTTTCCCTTCTTCTTGGGATCTGGACAATTGGCTCAGCCCCCATATGAATGCTGCTTCTTTCTGAGATATGTGTGTATATGTGGTAACGTTTTAGGTCTCATTTTATTTGATACCATTTGAGTAATAGCATATTTGTATACAACATGCCAGCAATACTCTCCTTGGCATCACGTTTTTTATTGAGTTAGTTATATGTATGTTTTCTAGTGAGTTCAGGGCACCATACATGGCTCTTCTCCTTTCCGCTTATAAAAACAGCAGCCCTATGTGGTACATAAGGCTGAGAGTGAGTATGAAAAGCTCAATACCACCCACTGTGTTTCATGGTTCAGTGGCGACTCTAAAATGGATCTCCCAGTACCCAAAACACTATACCACACTAGCTCAGGGGAATAGCAAAAATGCATGGCAAACTTTATAAGCTTGTTCCATGTGGTCGACTATCTTTAATTATCGTAAGCTTAGTTTCAGAACTCTCAATCATAAAGTTTTCAGTCTGTTAATCTGTCAATTACATTTTCATATTTGTAAAATGAATACTTTTGAAGCAGGATATACCTGCATTCTTTCTTATGCAAGTTTTGTTCGTGTAGGTTTGCCACAAGAATCCATGTTAATTTTTTTTCTGAGACCTTTTGGCTACTTTAGCTTGACTAGAAATTTGATGTGAAGGAAGTGTCTCTCTCACACACACTGGTTCTTCTCCTTCTCGTTCATCAAAAAACTTCACATCCACTTCTCCAGGAACAGAAATTCTGCCAGCGCTATGACCAGCTGATGGAAGCCTGGGAAAAGAAAGTAGAGCGCATTGAAAACAACCCCCGACGCCGAGCCAAGGAGAGTAAAGTACGTGAATATTATGAGAAGCAGTTTCCAGAGATCCGGAAACAGAGGGAGCTGCAAGAGCGCATGCAGAGGTTAGTGGAGGCATGTTTGGTTGCAGCAGTGTTTGGTTAGTGGGAATATATTAAGACTCCAGGTGTTTGGTAATAGCATGTCAGTGTCTGAAGAGGGGGGAAATGCATGGTTTATCTCTTACAGGAGAAACCACTCCAATCATCTTTATTTTCCAGCTATGTCTTGTCCCTAATCTCTATGAGTGGGCTGTCTCAGTAATTCTGGTACTTTGGGTGAAATGTGGTCCTAGTCATGGTAGTCTCTGCTTATCTGTCCCTAATCAAAGATTGAGAACCAATGTGATGTCCTAGTTTTGGCACTAGACTGCAACTCTGAAGACCAGGTTTCAAATCATTGCTTGGCCATTGAAACCCCCTGGGTGTCCTTGAGCAAGTCACAGTTTTTCCACACCAGAGAGCGGCAAAGGCCCCCTCTGAATATAACTTCAAAAGAAAACTCTGTGATAGGTTTGCATAGGATCACCAAAGCAACTTGAAGGCAGAACAACACCATTCAAAGACTAAGAGCAGTCCAGTGGCCATTTTGGGATGGCCAGTGTGGCGTATGTCACAGGTGGCCTTAACGTATGAGTGGTGTTTATTGTCCAACTCTGCTAATATTTAAAGGTGCCCACAAAAAAAAAAAGAAAGAAAGAAAGAGAAGGAGGTGTGGGTGAGAAGCATCTCAACATAAGCTTCTCACCAACCTCCATAAAGGCACAATTGCTTTAGCTTCTTCTTCTGTTCCTTACATTCATAAGAGCTTGCCACACTTGAAGGTGAAAGCAGATATTTCTGCATTTGCCAGTGTTTTTTTGGAAGAGGAGGGTGAGGTACTTCTTTCCTCACCTCAGGCTGCTTTCGACCCCAAAAATTGGCAGTGATATTGTTGCTAGGTCTTCAGGCAGCTTGACTAAGGACATTCTGGTCCATCCCTTTAACTATAATTATTACGACTTTTGAACAGGAGTGACTGGTGGTAAGGGACTATGTAGTACAAAGTATCACAGATTGTCCACCATTTATTTAGAACAGTCCTACACAACCTTTAGCCCTCCAGGTGTTATGGACTTCAGCTCCCAGAATTCCTGACAATTAGACAAACTGGCTAGGGCTTCTGGGAGCTGGAGTCCCAAATACCTGAAGAACCACGGGTTGTGCATGCCTGACCTAGAGTTGGCTTTATCCTGAAATCCAGAGGGAGCAGCAAACATGAGCGAAACTGGCTCCCATGTGTGCAACCTTATTCACCTGCTTAGCTCTCCCACCCCTTAATGGCATTGGTTGCCACAGGTTGAATCTTGACAAAGGTTTATATATTTCTGTGTATATATTTCTCTAAACCAGTTGCTACTCCAAAAATATTGAATTTGTGGTAGTGGCAATGTTCACCACCAGCATCTTTATGTTGAAGTTGTGATAAATATCATTCCATAAAGAAAGGCTTTATCTGCACAGCAGCTTTCTAGTTCTCCGTCTACACCATCAAGAAGGATGTGCTCCTTTTCACTGTGTTTTTGTGCCCCCTCCAAATCCCTTTCCCATTTAACTCCACCTTTCACAGCTTTTGCCTTTCCTTTTACATAGCACTTGCTCTGTCTCACACAAGCAGCTGCAGTAATTGTTAGAAGATGCAATGCCAAGTGCAAAATGGAGCATAAATTTTTCATCACGTTTTTTTGCCATTTCCCAGCAGGGTAGGACAGAGGGGCAGTGGCCTCTCCATGTCTGCAGCGCGAAGTGAACATGAGGTGTCAGAAATTATTGATGGGCTCTCAGAACAAGAGGTGAGGCTGGGTCACACTGTTTTTCTCCTCCCTTTGTATTCTCTCCTTCCATTTCTTTTCTCTTCCTCTGGGGGAAACCAATACACCCACAACAGATCTTGGCGTTGGAACTTGCTGTTGATGCTGCTGCCAAATTGCATTAGCTTCAGTCCTAACTGTGTTTAGCAAACACTGTCTTGTGTGAAGGAATGTGATGCCTTGATGGATTTGATAGGATCCTGAATGGGGACTTAGAGAGGCCTTTCTCTGTCTCTCTCTCATACTTTCTCCTCTCCTCTACTCATGACTGTCTTCTGGGTCTTGTTAGCAAACATCATTATGTTGGCTGCTGTGATGGTCACAAGGTGAGGCTTTTTATTGACACTGGTGGGGATTAACAGTGTTTTTTGAATGGGCATTCGAACAGTTAACCTTACCCTCGAATGCCCATTCAAAAAAACACTGTTAATCCCCACCAGTGTGATGTAGCATTGACACAATATTTTACATTGATATAGATCCCTCCTGTGTCATGGTGTGATGATGGACTAGGTTCATTTATTGAACCTCATTTGTCTCACAGATTTTATGGGGTGAGAAGGGAGAAGTTATTACTTAATGCTGGATTAGCCTTCCCTGCCAGAAGTAGTACCTTTCCTTGGCATTGAATTTAGTACATCACTCCCCAATATACATTCAACTTCTCTTTTTCGCAGCTTTTTCCCTTAGGGATTCTGTGCAAAAAATAGCTCAGCGTTTATTTGTAAGTTTCTGCATGTTTTACTGTGCATTGGCACGTTTTTCTAAATCCCAGTTTTTAACAGTGACAACAGTAAGATGAAATTGTTCAGAGTAACCAGGAATTGATTTTTGTATGTGAAGATTGTGAGTTCAGTTCAGTTTCAGTACACAAAACCAATTTCAGCTTCTGCTCAGATTTATTTAATTTTGTGTCATTTTTGCTTGGATCTGATTGTTGCATCTCAGGAGTATTCTACTAAATGCAAAGTAGATCCAATAAGTCGGAAGTCTGTCCTTCGCCTATTTGATAGTCTGTTCTCATCCAGTTTTGTAAAATCTTTTTGGTGTTTCACTGAAATAGCTTTCTGCTCTCTTCTTCCAGAATCTTGAGAAGCAGATGCGCCAACTTGCTGTCATCCCACCTATGTTGTTTGATGCTGAGCAGCAACGAATCAAGTTCATAAACATGAATGGCCTCATGGATGACCCCATGAAGGTCTACAAGGATCGACAGGTGATGAACATGTGGAGTGAACAGGAGAAAGACATTTTCAGAGAAAAGTGAGTTCAGCTGAGGTGGTGCCTCTCTTGTAGTCATATGTGTTTTCCATAGGCCAAGATGTATAATTCCTTAATACAAGGTTATTTATTTATTTGTTGTGTCAGGACAACCAGTCAAATTATATTACATTTCTAACAGAACAAAGCAAACAAACAGAAAAAATACAAAATTTGTGAGTTTGGTAGTTGATTAAATGTCCTTTGACCAGTATATGGCCACTTGGAGTGCTTCTGGTGTTGCTGCAAGAAGGTCCTCCATTGTGCATGTGGCACGGCTCAGGTTGCATTGCAGCATGTGGTCAGTGGTTTGCTCCTCTCCACACTCGCATGTTGAGGATTCCACTTTGTAGTCCCATTTCTGAAGGTTGGCTCTGCATCTCGTGGTGCCAGAGCGCAGTCTGTTCAGCGCCTTCCAAGTCGCCCAGTCCTCTGTGTGCCCAGGGGGGAGTCTCTCATTTGGTATCAGCCATTGGTTGAGGTTCTGGGTTTGAGCCTGCCACTTTTGGACTCTCGCTTGCTGATGTGTTCCAGCGAGTGTCTCTGTAGATCTTAGAAAACTATTTCTAGATTTAAGTCGTTGACGTGCTGGCTGATACCCAAACAGGGGATGAGCTGGAGATGTCTCTGCCTTGGTCCTTTCACTAATACAAGGTGAACAGAAGGGGCATGGCCTTGATCAAGGTGTGGCCAAGATGTAGCACAGAAGGCCATTTCTGGAGCCCTTTATAACCTCACTAATGCCACCGTCTATACATACCTACCTTGAATTTTATTTTTTTGTGATTTTTCTGCTATTTCTGGACCTTCTGCAGCCTGTGGTGGACACTGGGGCCAAAATGTGGCCCCAAGGTATATCAGGACTCTGATTTAGTCCTGAATACTGAATTGGGAATTCTGTGGCTCAGGAGACACCTGTGGTTCTTTGTTTAATTTCATAGAGCAATTGGTTTGCAGACAGTATACGTCCATCCATGATGTGTACACCACTCATTTAGGTGCTTCTTTGTTTTTCATGTGCATGCATGAAGCAGAGAACAGATGGGATAGTACAAAAAACTACACATTCCTACAACTACTGGCTTCACCAGTTTGTAGCCTTAGATTGTTGAATGGCAGTGCCTAGGGTAGCTGGCCCTCAGGTGTGGCATATGGAAAGTGGGGACAAGAAGAATAAAATCAAGATGTGAGGTAGCAAAGCAGAGCTTTTTTTCATACCACAACTCCAAGAATTCCCTTTCCAACATGTCCAGTGGCCAAACTGTATGAGAAATTCTAGGAGTTGTAGTCTAAATATGCTTTTTCCCCAAACTGGGCATAAGCAGGAACTTCGTTCTGGACGGAGGATAAAGTTCCAAGAAATGAGATTGGGATTGAAAATACAAGGACCACTTAAAACAGGGGTATCAAACTCATTTTCTTCGTCATGTCCTCTGTGAAATGTGCACCTATGGGTTTTCCCCTGCACACGCACAGCAGATCGGAACATTCTAGAGTTTTTTTCAATTGATTTTTATGATGATAGAAGCCCATCCGCCCATCCTCCACAAGGCGGGGCTTAGTCTCATTTCCTTTTTCCACGCCAAACAAGCAGCATTGACTAACTTCTCTCCTCACTTCTGACTGGACTGTGTTTTACCTGACAACCAACCTTCTCCAAACCTGACTCAGAACATTTTGGACCACGCTTCTTCTCTCCCTGACAGGCTAGCTATGTCTTCCCTATATTTTAAGAACTGCTTGGCTTGCGGGGCTACTCTCTCAGCATGCCAGAGTGGACCTGCAAAACATGTCAGAGAGTGACAGCACACCTTGGAAACACCACCCTCAGAGCTCCTCAGTCTAAGCCAGTGGTTCTCAACTTGTGGGTCCCCGGATGTTTTGGCCTTCAACTCCCAGAAATGCTAACAGATGGTAAACTGAGTGGGATTTCTGACAGTTGTAGGCCAAAACACATAGGAACTCACAGGTTGAGAAACACTGGTCTAAGCAAAGATTGTGAAGTGAAGGCTCCTGCACAATTTTCCTCCTGACTGCAGTTGCAGAGTGTGAGTCCTATCTGTCTTAGTATTTAACTCACAAGTGTCAAACTCAAGGCATGTGGGCGGAATCCGACCCACCATGTCATTTTAGGTGGTCCTTCAGATGCTGGACTGCAACCCCTGTATTGCTCATCATTAGACATTCTCTGAACTCCTTAAGCAGGATGGAGAAAATATACTCAGAAAAACAAATAGGCACTAGACTCGGGGTGTAGATGGGCATATAGGCTAGCAGAAAGTGGAGAAAGAAATCAGCCAGGATCCACATGTTAAACAACATTAAATATTATCTCTTAATGCCACCTACACTTTTTTTCCAGATTCATGCAGCATCCAAAGAATTTTGGCCTGATTGCTTCCTTTCTGGAAAGGAAAGTAAGTCCTTTTTCCTTGTTTGTTTGTTTTTCAGTCACAATCAAAGTTTTCTTTGAATTGAAGAAAACTTTGATTGAGACTCTTTCAGACTGGATTGCTTCTTTTGTGTAGCCTGGGACAGTTTTGTGTTTACTTTGCCAAAAGCAGGACTTAACACAGAGCCTGGTTTCACCAAAAAAGTGACTACGTATGGTTGTGTTCTGAATTAAACAGGGATGTGCATTACCCTGAGGCAACAAATGCATCTGAGAAAAGCCTGGGATCATGGCTATCAGCTGTTGAAAAGTTGGATTTGATAGTAGTCCTCTTGTCAGACAAGGGCCTGAGTCACATTTTGAGTCCCAACTCTAGAGAGGCCCATTGAATCAGTGGTGGGTTGTTGATTTTTTTGTAAGTGTTAACTCATTGGATCCCATTAGAAGTCTCAAGGGAAGGGCTTATCACACAGTGACAGCGGCAACAAAAGATTAGACTACCATCATTTCCCTGTCAAATCAGTGAGGCACATTGGGAACTCAGCCTTACCAAAGAATCCAAGAAGATAAGCCTTGGACAGGATAGGAATCTCAATCTGCTAGTCAAAACCTGTCTGTCCCCTTTTCTGCTCCTGCCCTCCCTGTCAAATATGTCAGGTCTCAAAACGACACAATGGAGGTGATTTTCAGTGTTCTCAGCATGCCAGAGTGCAGCTGACAGCCCCCCAAAATGGAGAGCTCAATGCATCAATTTGGAAATGAAGTGTGTTCAACCGAGCAAGCTTAATGGATGGAAATAATGGCTCCTGACAGTTGTGTGCCAGGTTTCATGTAGTGTTCTACCCCTGATAAATTATATTAGACCTCTCCTCCGTTAGTTTTTGTTGTGGTTGCTTTTAGTTTTCAAAGCCAGCTAGAGTCCTTCCATCTCTCCCTGTGCACCCTGCCCCCATAATGCTAGAAATAGTTCTCAGGGCCAGTATCCAGGGATGAAATCCACTTAAGGGTATATTTTCAGTGCCCTAATGCTTTCCAAATGGTAATTTCTTGGTGTCGAGTTGCTTCTTCTCTTTTAATTGTCCAGAAGAAGCCCAAGCAGATGTGGGGGAGTTGTGGGAGAAAGCTGCCTGGTAAAACATCCCAGATAACTAGGTGCCTTTTACATCTGCATATGTCAGCTGAGAGAATGGTGGGTAGAAAGAGATGAAGAAAGTAGAGCATTTAAACAGAAAAGAAACTGAAGGAAGGGAGTAGATGTCGACGTGGTGGGTAGGATAGCTCAGGATCTAAACTGGTTTTGGAGAGAATATGGTGACATTAAGGCAACCCACAACATAGGAGAAAATGACTGTGGAGGTATCTATAGCTGCCTTGTAGGGGTTGTCAGATGAAAACTGGAGACAAAAAGGTGGAGGTGTAATTGCATCTCAGCTCATAGTAGCTTGACACTAAATATTAAGACCAATGTCCTTGTTAATGAAATCTCTTTTGAGGAATTGATATGTAAATGTTCAATAGCAGTTGGTTTGCACTACTGTGAATTGGAAAAATAGGTAATACTTAAAGTACTGAATAGAGAGATCACAGTTTGATGATATTACATCTGTTTTAATCCTTCGTCATTGGAAATAACAGTAAAAACATTTTTGAAAAGAGTGGGATATAAAAGCACAGAGAATATGTTGGTGCTAGTGCAATATAGTTGTCAAAGAGGTCTCAGTGCAATTCCCATCCTTGCTGTGATTTCACAAAGTATCCTTTGGAAAGCTGCTTTTCTTTCAGTCACCACCCCCATCTGCAATATAGGAATAATGATACTAATTTACCTTATAGGTCCATGGTAAGTAACTACTGAGATAATGGGTATTTAAAAAGGGAGCATTGAGAAGTCCTGTATAAATGCTGTGTTGTTGCTGTTATTTTTATTGTTTCTTTTCATACTGATTTGGGTGACCCCATGGCTATTAGTTAAGAACTGAAAAAGGGCCCACATACAAATATGATGTTGGTTTCTGCATGTCTGAAAATAGTAGTTTGCAGTATATGTAAAAGATATTTAAAATCTTTTGAGACTTCCAAAAATGTCCTGATAAGGACCCATAATGAGGGAAATTCCAGATCCTGTGGAATATTGAAGGCAATTGAGGGGCAATAAGGCATACAATTATAGTATTTTGGTAGGAGGATAGTATTTTGGTAGGAGGATATCTGCTATGGGTTTTCCCAACACTATACAAGGAGATTTCAATAAGGGAGTGAAGCAAAAGGGCACTTCCTTCTTCTCGCACATTTCAGAAATAAAGTGACTAAATATAGAGTTGGCAGCCGGTTTTATATTGCATAGTGGATGGAAGTTTTTTGAGGGATGAAAGAAAGTTCCTTTTCCTACTTTATACAGGAAGGTTTCTGGATTTGAGGAGAAATGAAACAGTACACAATTTCTCTCCTCCACCTATGAGCCTTCGCTTTCCCTGGAAACTCCAAAGAGCATTGACCAACCTTTCAAGCCAGTAAATGTTAGGAGTTGGGCCTATTTGTTTTATACGTTTTTAAAGGCCTTAATGTATGTATTTTATAATTCTGTTTTAAATGTTGTTTTTAAATGTTGTATATTGTTGAAGGCATTGAATGGTTGCCTGGCTGTAAAGCCACCTTGAGTCACCTCTGGGCTCGAGAATGGCGGGGTAGAAATATCACAAATAAGTAAATAAATAAATAAATAAATGTTGCCTCCTGAATTATTGTTATATTGGAGATCGTTCACTTCTGCCCCCCCCCCCCCAATGGTTGCTACAGTTAATAACTTACATTTCTCTATGTCCACCAAAGCACTGTATATACTCATATATAAGTCTAAAATGTTATTTTAAAAATATACACTGGGTCTACTTATGTACGGGTCAATGTAAATACTGTACCTTAACTATTATCAGAACAATGGCAAAAAGCATTTTTGGTGGCCTGGGTGAGAGAATGACAGCAGTGGCAGCCAGAACTGGTTGACCCCCTGAGGAGATGGTGATGCTTTTCCCCTCCAAAGAATGACCCTCGGCTTCTCCTTAATTTTGGCTCCCAAACTTGCCTTCGACTTACACATGATATTAACTTATGCACAGATACAGTGGGGGAAAAAGTATTTAGTCAGATACCAATTGTGCAAGTTCTCCCACTTAAAAAGATGAGAGACCTATAATTGACATCATATTTAGACCTCAACTATGAGAGACAACATGAGAAATCACATTCAGAAAATCACATTGTCTGATTTTTAACTAATTTATTTGCAAATTATGGTGGAAAAGAAGTATTTGTTCACCTCCAAACAAGCAAGATTACAGATCTCACAGACCTGTAACAACTCCTTTAAGAGGCTCCTCTGTCCTCCACTTATTGTGTGTAGTAATGGCACCTATTTGAACTTGTTCTCAGTAGAAAAGACACCTGTCCATAACTTCAAGCAGTCACACTCCAAACTCCACTATGGTGAAGGCCAAACAGCTGTCGAAGGACACCAGAAACAAAATTGTCGCCCTGCACCAGACTGGGAAGACTGAATCTGCAATAGGCAAGCAGCTTGGTGTGAAGAAATCAACGGTGGGAGCAGTGATTAGAAAATGGAAGATATACAAGACCACTGATAGTCTCCCTCGATCAGGGGCTCCATGTAAGATCTCACCCCTTGGGCTCAAAATGATCACAAGAACGGTGAGCAAAAATCCCAGAACCACACGGGGGAACCTAGTGAATGATCTGCAGAGAGCTGGGAACAACGTAACAAAGGCTACTATCAGTAACAAACTACACCGCCAGGGACTCAGATCCTGCAGTGCCAGACGTGTCCCCCTGGTTAAGCCAGTACATGTCCGGGGTCAACTGATGTTTGCTAGAGAGCATTTGGATGATCCAGAAGAGTTTTGGGAGAATGTCATGTGGTCAGATGAAACCAAAGTAGAACTGTTTGGCAGAAACACAACTCTTCGTGTTTGGAGGAGAAAGAAAGCTGTGTTGCATCCAAAGAACATCATACCTACTGTGAAGCATGGGGCTGGCAACATCATGCTTTGGGGCTGTTTCTCTGCAAAGAGACCAAGGCAACTGATCCGTATACATGAAAGAATGAATGGGGCCATGTATCGTAAGATTTTGAGTGCAAACCTCCTTGCATCAGCAAGGGCACTGAAGATGAAGCATTGCTGGGTCCTTCAGCTAGCTGAAGCTAGCAAATGCTAATGAAGGTGGTCAGCTGAAACATTCACACCGAGCTTCAGCAGAGAGCTCTTTGCCCCACCCCAGTCATTCCACAGATATATAAACCCATTTTCCTATTTCCAACAGACCTCACTACCTCTGAGGATGCTTGCCATAGATGCAGGCGAAATGTCAGGAGAAATGCCTCTAGAACATGGCCCTATAGCCCGAAAAAACCTACAAGAACCTAACCTTGTGAATGTTTGACCTCTGTGATTGCCACTAAAGGATATATAACAAAGTATTGAGATGAACTTTTGTTATGGACCAAATACTTATTTTCCACCATAATTTGCAAATAAATTTGTTAAAAATCAGACAATGTGATTTTCTGAATGTGTTTTCTCATGTCTCTGATAGTTAAGGTCTACCTATGATGTCAATTACAGGCCTCTCTCATCTTTTTAAGTGGGAGAACTTGTGCAATTGGTATCTGATTAAATACTTTATTCTCCCACTGTATATATAGTTGTTCCCTGGTTATCCCTTTCATCTTCAACCATGTTGCTTTCTTTTAGACAGTAGCTGATTGCGTCCTCTACTATTATTTGACCAAGAAGAATGAGAACTATAAGAATCTGGTGAGAAGGAATTACCGGAGACGTGGAAAGAATCAGGTAAGAAAAACCAGGGATTATTTTCTGTGCAGAAACTTCTGCTGCTTTGCAGAAGCATGAGATACTTGTAGCCATCAGTTGTGAATGCCAGGCCTTGAATGTGCATGGTTGATCTTAGATTCTAGTTATTATTGCGATTGTGTGAATTTGCTATGATCCTCTGATTGGCTTGAAGGGTGGGTGGTACTGAATGTATGCTGCTGTTGTTGTTATTAATATCCTACTTTTATCTCTTGGTTGAGATGCAAAGTGGTTCACAACATTAAAAATGCAATTTAAAATCTACAGCATATCAATAGTAAAATAGAATTAAACATACATATCAGTTGAAATCACCTAATACCCTTAAAACAGTACTTCCCAACCTTTTTTTGACAAGGGACCACTCTCCAATGTTAGTACCAAAAGGGTTACAAATCAGTTTTTGAGCAACTTTAGATTTGGTTTGGTTATCTGGGGTGCTGATTCAGAAAATTACATTGGATAGACCACATCAGCTCTAGTTTCTGATTCAAAACACATGCCATCCAGTAGTCTCCATCTGCTCGCCCACAGAAAACCATATTTAATAAGCTTCGGCACTATAAGAGGGTTTTGTGAGACCAGTCACTCTTGTTGCAACGGTGTAGTAACGGTGAGGCCGCAGACCATATTTCACTTCTTGCAGACCACTGCTGGTCCACGGACCACAGGTTGTGAACCACTGCCTTAAAAACAGATAAATCATCCAAATATTATGCAGCAACCCCCACCCCACTCAGCTTGTTCTTAAAAACTTTCTTCTTTAAAAGCCCATCTGAATAATAATACTCTCAGAGGAAATGTAGCCTACAGACCACACATGCATCCCAAGAGACACCTTTCTGTGCCCCCCTGGAGTCACAGAAGACATATTTCAAACCCTTCACAAGTCAATGTTTTTTTAAAAAAAGAATTCCAGTCGACATTTTTTTCCCCAGACAACTGAAAACCACTGCAAGATGCAGCAGCTTTGCTACCCCCTAAGCCTGAAAACTGCAAGGGAGGGGAGATGAAATTGTAAGTGACATGGTGGGTTATGGCCTGCTAGGGGTTTGGAGTTAAAACATGGTCTCCAGTCCCGTTTCCCATCCCTATTGTTACTTCAACACATTTGGAGGGCACCTGGTTGGGAAAAGCTGCCATGTAAGAATGATTCAGACAGGAGTTAGAAAAGTAAGTACCTGCCATGACTTCTAGCAAGTCAGATCAACCAGTATTCCACCAGGTTCAGTTCTCTGACTAGAAAAAGCTTTCCAAGATTTCAGCCATATCTTTTTTTCAGTCAGCTACCTGATCCTAACAGTGAATTAAAATGCTGAGCTGCTGAATTTGCTTACCAAAAGGTCGTAGGTTCGAATCCGGGGAGCGGTGTGAGCTCCCGCTGTTAGGCCCGGCTTCTGCAAACCTAGCAGTTTGAAAACATACAAATGTGAGTAGATCAATAGGTACCACTCCATCGGGAAGGAAACGGCGCTCCATGTAGTCATGCTGGCCACATGACCTTGGAGGTGTTTACAGACAACGCCGCTCTTCAGCTTAGAAATGGAGATGAGCACCAACCCCCAGAGTCGGACACGACTGGACTTAATGTCAGGGGAAAACCTTTGCCTTTACTTACCTGATCCTAAAGGAATCCTAAAGTTAAAACTGAAGGTGCCAGAGGTGCCCAAACCTGGCACTTTCCCTAAGCAAAGTAGATTCTCTTCCACTAAACTACCACCTTTCCTGTAGCCAGTGCCATCTAGCAAGTTCTCTTGTTTTCAGAGGACTCCATCTTGTCTCCATTCAGTTCCCAGTCTGAATGTAGGTAAAATACAACAAAATCCAAAGAAAAAAACATGACAATGTCATAAACTGAGAACAGAAATAACACCTGAGATAAGCCTAGATTTCAGATTTTGTCTCAGGTGTTATTTCTGTCCTCAGTTTATGACACTGTCATTTTTTCTTTGGATTTTGTTGTATTTTACCCCTACATTAAGACTGGGAACTGAATAGAGACAAAATGGAGTCCTTTGAGAGAAGTGCTGCCAAAACAAGGAGAAGCTATGCCAGAAAACAAGAGAACTTGCTAGACTTTTCTTCTTCTCTATGATTTTGACACCTGATGAAGAAACCAGGGGAGCATTGACAGCTTGAACAATGTATTGTCCAGCTAAAAACCATGGAATAAAAGCATCACAGCTTGTGGGATTTGGGATTTTGTTGTTTTTACTGCTTGGCCAGCAAAGCTAGCCCTGAATATGTGTCTTGTATGTAATCTTTTTCTGACTTGCTCTGGATAAGATTTTTTTACTTGCTTTTAATAATAGCATCCCAAAACAGAAAGCAATACCATGTAAGGGAGAAGAGAGTTGAACTTCATGTCACAGTGCCACTGTTGAGAACAAGACAGAGAAGAAAGAAAGAAAGAAATAAAGAAAGAAAGAAAGACGGAGGAGAGAGATACCATTGCAATGTTTGCAGAAAGCATATTATTAAGATTGGCAATGGAAAAAGAATCATTGCCCGAAGCATTGAAGCTTATTTAAGGGGGGATAAGTTGACCTATCTTGATTATATTTTCTGCTTTAACTTATAAAGAGGCTAAAGATTTATTTTAAAGGACTTTTAGTACTTTGTCTCATCTGTGTGTATCTGCATATGTAGATGTTGGTTTAAAATAAGGTTTCCTGTGTTTCTGTCATAATCCCACATGTCCCAAGACCAATGGCTTGGTTTCCTTAATAATATCAGGCTGCTTTACACAACAGAAAAGGACAACTGGCTGAACATAAGGATGTAGTGTAGTCATCCTTACCATAAATGAGATGTTTAGATTCACCTGGCTTGGCCACAACCCACCACACTTGGAGAAGTTCCTCTTTTTACTTCCACTCCCAGTATCTCCCAACTATCATGGCTAGAGGCTGTGCTTTCTGGAAGGTTCTGGGGACTGTAAGTTCCAAAAGGCAACTTTTCCAAGCTGTGTGCTCATAGTTGAAGCTGTTTTGCTACTAAGGAAAGTTTATGCTTAGGCTAAAGAGCCTTCTACAAAGAGGGATTACAATCTCCAATCAGTAGTGGCAGCATGAGGTTCTTCAGCCCAGGCCAAGATTAAATGTGAGGGGGTTGACATCCTGTACATTAGTTCTTAAGGAATATATGAGTAGCACAGCACTAAGCAGCACCCTCCTGAGCATTCTCATGGAAGTACATAACATTGCGGTTTGCTTAATTTCCTGCGGACGCAACCTCCATATCAAACAAAGGTTCCAATTTTCGGTTACTTGCTGGTTTTATTGCATGCTGGTTTTCAAATAACACCCTCATACTCTGCCTATTTCAGAAGCTAACTTTTCTTGCTGAACTTGGTAATATCCATCAGGAGTGTCCTCCCCTCACAAAGCACAGTGAAACTGTTGAATTTGGTGCTGCGAGAATTGGTATTTGACCCTGGTTTGATCATTTGGAAGAGAGAATGTAGGTAGATCTGTTGGGGATAGGTCTGCCAGGCATAATAATGGCATGCAAATATCCTTGAGTAAGGTGTATTTGCTTGGATCCTTGAAAAGGGAAGTATCTTATGGGAAGTCCTCAAATACATCGCAACATTGTGTTAAGATGCCTACTATATATTACAGGTGATAGATATTTGGGGACTGGGTGGATTTAGTTCACGACTCTGCGTTTGTTGGAAATGGCGCTTAGCAATTCTGATTGCTCATGAAGTAGAAGTTGGCATGGCACCTAGAGGTTTCTTAGAGCTGGACCCTAAATTAATTGCCAACTCAAAGCTGGGTGTGACATTGGCAACATGCTCTCTATGGTAAAATAATTTAGTAGTGTGTTGCTTGAGCTTGATAGGAGTTGAAGTACTGGCCAAGGACTCCTGACTTGCAAAGTGTTCCTTCTAGGAAAAGGGCCCTCATTACTGACCAGAGAGCTGGCCAGCCAGGAAGCCTGTCTAGCCGCTACTTCCTTTAGCAAAGAAGAAAATCCGGGAAGCAAAACAACAGCAACAAAATCACCACATCCATAGTGTTAGAATTGCTTTGTGACCGGAACAAGTTTGCAGCATGTTTTGACAGAAGATCATTTTGACCCAGGGACAGAGTGTGTGTATATATTTCATTTCTGGCTTAGACATTTTAATTCCAAAGTGTCAGCTATATGAACACCAATGTATCTAAAGTTTGGTGTTGCTTTCTTAAAAACCGTGTATTACGAGACAATTGACTTGAAAAACGATCATGGCCTTAGGTGTGTTAGAACATGGCTGGTGCAATGGGGACAGTTTTGTCTCGTAATCCTCTTTGCTGGGGCTTTGTCGCCCTTTCGGAGCCTGGTAATCTGGGCCAGAAAGGTGGAAGAAATTAAAGCACAAATGTGCTATGGGGTTAAGCTTGGCATCCTTGGAGATTAATCACACACAGACTGTAGCCAGCCCCACGAGCTCCCGGTGACGAGGGCTGTGGTTTTATAGCTCATGACTCATCGGCTCGACGGAGAGCGACCGTGTTATTCCAGTAGATTGCAAAATCATAACAGGAATGCCGTGGATGGTTTACGGCTCAACTATGCAAATCGCCAGGAAGCCATTTGAGCCGGAGAGCGTAAGACACGCCGAGCTGCGATGGCAGAGCTGTGAAAAGGCACCCAGGGCACCAGGAGGAGGTGATGGGGGACTTTGGGGAACATCGGGAGGGAAGTTGAACACTTGGTGAAGAAACCAAATGTGTTCAGAGGGAAGGGAGAGTTGTCTGACATTGGAGAAGGGTTTGTTTATTCCTTGCAAGAAAATATTTGGCAGAAAATTTTCCACAAAGACTCTATGAAGTTCTCCATCATTTGAGAGCCAAATGGACATGCACTCTCTCCCTTCTTGGATCTGAGGTATTAGGCTTTCAAGAAGGGGTTCCTATCCATGCTTTATGGTGGGGTGATGGCGTTTCAGCATTGCATGTGTGGGGATTTCCCTGAGTGAAAGGGGGGGGGGG